CTTGTTAGAAAACTCCTATTCATATTAATGAGCTTTGGAAAATATCTTGTTCACCTTGGTCATCATACCACGCCACGTGACGATGTTGGCATCAATCTTCTTGCGTTCCTCTTGCTCGTGAGCTATTATAGTCTTCAACAAGCTGTCTAGATGCTCGTCTGCGGAATCGTCGTGCTTGTCGAACTTCTCGAACCCTTTGGACAAGTCGGCTCCCAATTTAGGGGGGTAGTACCACTGCAACGATGAATCGTCGAGATGGAATTCATGTTTGTCGTCGTAGGAAAAGCATGCGATTTCCTAGATCACTATCAGCATAATTCAAACTATAATTGCGTCTCTCGCAAAGAGCATGAAGGTTGAGGCACCAAATACGGCCTTGAGCCTATATCAGAGGGTGGTGTACCTTGGGCCGCTTCAGTGGCTCGGACTGGCCGCTAAAACGGCCAATTGGTTGGATGTTGAAGGTTGACGAATACATTCTCAATCCCCAAACTGTCCCACGGGTGATCTTAAACGATGCCGGATGCCAAGAGTAGAATAATTGTAACATGTATGGATGAATGCGAGTTTGTCGATAGTGGTGAGTTGAAGAAGATCACGAGATGTAGGTAGGTAGGTTGCTGGTATATATAGAGTTACCTACCCTTAGGTACCGAACCCCATCGAAACCCCACTACTCACATGGAAAAAACGACCGCTAACCAATCAAATGCACCATCCTCATCGTGTGGTGTCTACAGTATCAATGGTTTTCAGCAAAGAGAACACTTGAGCATGCTCCAGGTTTATTAAAATGTCACAAAAAAGAGGCGGTGATGCCATTATCAGTCTGATTAATCACAAAAAGAAACTAAACCTGATGAAGGAACGGGCTACACAACACACCTATAGGCTTTCTTTGCATCAACAACATAGCGATTTCGAGGACGCCCTAGCTATAATGATGGAATATATGGAATGACAAAATAGCCTGGGGACTACCTAGGGGGTAGGTACCTAAATCAATGTGAAATGCCATCAATTGGAAGAAAAGTGATAAACAACTTCGAGGGCTAATGTTCTCTTTCTGTTATACTTAAACTACTAAAAACTAGGGTCGGTGATAAGAATGGTATATGATTATCAGGTTTATCATACGGTTCGGACGAGGCTTCAACATAATCTTATTCATATGCGCCTGATTATACTATATTTATAGAGAAAGCTGCACCTATAAACCCCAGGGCCATATCGTCACTTACGCATAAAGTAAGTTCTGGTTGGACTCTGAACGACCAGCATTGGATCAGGAGCACTAAAATAGAAGTTACCGTTTTTGACTGTGGGGCGTTGCCCAGTACAGGCAGTACCATGTTGACATACAAAGTACCCCACTTAAACAACTGACCGTCAGGGTCCTACGCCATCACACTAATAGGTAGCCTCGACTCCACCACAACCACCCATTGACACTATAACCTGGAATCACAAGCTTCTTTCCATCCAACCTAAGTATAACCCGAGAGCCAGACCCTCGACGGCGACCGTGCCTCTGTACCACCAGCTTCTTGTAATACCTACCGAATATCATTACCATCGCAAGAACGCAAGACATCCGCCTCACAGACCACAACCCTCCTTCATCCAACCCATAGACGTCGACGTCGCCGTCGCCGTCGCCGTCTTATCGAGTATACACAAAATGGCCGATCGCGCACCACCTCCCAATCTCCGCCCCGGCGCAAGCCGCCTAACGCGCGCGGCGACAAGCACAGCAGGCGTGCGACGCAACCTATTCCAGAGCCACCTGACGCGGCGGCCGACGCCGACGGAGGGCACGCGATCCAACGGAGGAGGCACGACTACCACCACAACAACCACCACTACCACGAACTCGTCATCGTCCAACTCGGTCGACATGTTGCGCTTTGAAAGCGACGTGCTGTCCGAGTCCTCTGAGATCGTCATCCGCGACAAGAACGGCGAGTTCGAGGTCGGGGACCCGCCTACGCCGCCGCTCGACGACCCGGACGAGGAGGCCGCCCTCGATGATGCGCAGGAGAACGAACGTATGCTTTTTTTTTTTAGTGAACAACTTTGGTAAAGATGATGTGCTTACGATGATGTGTATGCGTATAGGGGAGAGGCAGAAATTGGCAGATGTTGTCCGCCATCACCAGATGACGCGCATGTCTGTGCACCCTGAAGGTACAGTGAATGAGGTAAGCCCTTGCCAAGTTTCGCGACTGACAAAGAGGGCAGAAGTGCTGGAGGCGCTCAAGGCTAGCATGAGGGCAAAGGTAGCCGCGCTAGCTGAGGACAATTGGATGTACGAGGCCGAGGAACCACCGCGCGTCCATTGAACAGTGGTCAGGAGGGGTACCGTTTGTTATAATCTCTATGCCGGCTGTCTGTCTATGCTACAGTTGTCCCTGCACAACGTACATCTCGACTAATCTAGGCCCTCCGCGGCTGGCATGGACGTCGATGTTGACGTCGATGACGGAGCCTTGACAGCAGGCTTCCTCGAGCTCCCGCCCGCAGGAGCCCCGCCACCCCCACCGCCAAAGAAGCCACTCATCATATCCATCAGGGGATTGCTCTGCCGGGGCTTCGTGATGCCGAAGTATATCTCAGCAATTATCTCCAGCGCCTCGTTCCACATCTCGACCTCTCTAAGATGGCTCGCATACTTTGCCGCCAATTGCCGGTAGAGATCTGGGCTGCCTCTTTGGACAGCGAGTAGTAGTAGGCCGAGGAAATTGAGAAGTGGTATGCTAGGGAACACACGCAAGTCGGCACTGTTGCTACTCACGTCTTGGACACTGAGTTGGGATCCGCTGTCATTGCTTAGTGCGCTGGTGAAGACGCGGTAGGATGTATTGGCAGCCCGGACGTTCGCCGTTATCAGATAGGGCAACACCGCTCGGCCGGCGTACAGGGCAGCCGTATGTGCGTCGTCCTCCTTGAACCACTCGTACTCCATGCGGGCGAGCAACTCGGCCGAGTCTTTGGTTCCCAACACTAGATGTCTCTCAGCATCGTATGCTTCGTGCTCTTCTGCGTAAAGGGAGCCCGCAACGTGGTGGAGCTCAGGGTCGCCGGCGGGGTAGTCGCCGAATTTCGAGGACCATCTGTGGACAGCCTTGTATCAGTATCACGTTCTCGTAGCTCTCTCTCTTCCTAGGTAGCTAGAACTACGACCCGTCCGGTGACGGCATAATAACCATGTGAAAACTTACGATATTATCTCCCCAATATACTTCTTGCGCGTGGGCTCCTCGCTGTCGAATAGACGTAGACACGTCAACAACTTGCCTTTGGTGGCGGGATCGGGCTTGAGCTCGGCCTGCTTGTAGGTATCGATCAGCAGGACACAGAGGTCGCCCCCACTGCCGCCCTGCCCGGCCTTCAGTAGCGACTGGGCGACGTTGTAAAGGATGTCGACGGCGGCGGTCCAGTTGGCGGCCTTGATGTACCGCGCGGCCACGACCCGCGTCTGCTGCTGGGCTTCGTAGAACTGGCCCTCGCTGATGCGCTCCTGGAGTCGCGCGATGATCTTGTCGATCTTGTCGCCGCCTTTGCCGCCGCTCATGTTGGGCTTGCTCACTGACCGGCGGGGCGAGTGTGTGGTGACAGCTAGCTACCTAGGGTGTAAGGAGATATGTTATGTTTGCGATATCGTATTTCGTTGGAAGTTTCACGCAAAATACTCGTGTGAGCAGTGAGCACAGAGCTAGTAAGGCACGTAAGTAGGACCTGTACACTATATCTGTGTAAATTATAGGTGGGATTGAGTGAGATAAAGTGTTATTAAGGTACCTACTTAGCTCACGCTTGTAGTGGACCTAAGAAAGTGCTGGTCGTCCTGATGCTGAGTGACGGGGAGCGAGGCTGGTGGGGTTAAGATCCACTCGCAGCTTCACAGCTGGGATGCCTCCCCTCCGACGGGACTGAAGTCCTCCCGTGGACGCATACAGTTAATTGGCTTAGATAGGTACATGTAATTGTCTTCCTTTCGCGTTACATTCTAGTAACAGATATTACTGTTCTGCTTCATGCAATGCTGGGGGTACAATTGCCCCGCTCCACGAAAACCTGGGAACTAAGCGGGGTGCTGACGTAATATTGAGGCGGGCAGTGACATGACCCACACGGCGGCAACAGTCTTGTATAAAAAGGAAGAATAGGGCAGTTTTTACAGGAACAAACAGCTAATAAAACAATACTGTAACGTCCACTCGGAGATTTGGAAGTGTATCGATGCTTGCTGATGGGAAACTTCCAGACCCTGTTAAATAGCGACTGGTGTGTAAGGGGAAGGTACGACCTACAGTGTATATCATGATCCCGCACGGGCGGGCCATGTAGACTCTCTCCATCTCTTCTACAACACAGAATCCATCTACAGCTATTACACTGGCGGAAACCCGGACTTTGTGGTAGGAGCAGGACTCATTCATAATAGCTCCTTATCTCCCAAGAAGATCTACCATATATTACTACCAACATTTATACACTCAGATACACCCCCCTCCACTGCGTACATTTACCAACTTCCCTTATCTGCATGGTTCTATTCACCGGAGGCCATTCACCTTGGAGAACAAAACGCCAAGCATTCATTTCGTTACCTTGCATGGTTAACTCCGTCATTGCTCCTTATCCATCAATATTCAAAAACACAATCTTGGGTACATCACCGTGTCAACAGCATCTATACACTAAGATATACGCCATCTGTCACGCGTACCGGAGGACCAAGTCGCGAATCTAAGACTGGGAATGCACCTATCATGTATGTTATCTACGAGCATGACAATCAGCTATACGTTTACCCGTATAGTCGCTGATCTATCAGTATATCCGCTCAATTATCCGAGATCCTGAATATGAGGGAAGCAAAGCAGGAGTATGTGAGGTGGCGGCGACTAGAGGTGAGGCTATTGAGACATATAGACTGGAGATCTACCATCTAGAGGAGGAAGGGCAACTAGACCTACAGGCAAAAAGGTACGCGCTGCATTAGCCGGGAATCGAACCCGGAGCTAAGTCTTGGGAGGACTTGATGTTACCACTACACCACTAATGCTTTGATTGATGTTTCGGTTTGAGTTGACTCGTTAAACTGGAGGTCATATGACAATACTATCCACAGGAGATGTCCCTAAGTTAGCCACCGTGAGGGGTGAGGGGTGAGGGGTAAGTATATTGAGCATTATCTGTCATACCCCCTTGTAATTACCCCAAATTAGGTATGATACAGTCTTATATACCGCGACAAAGGCATTGGAGTATAGTTGATTGAAGAGTCCAACGTCGACACCATAGGGCAATAAAGGCTTGCGACGATGTGAATTGGACGACAGGAGGTCTCGCCAGGCAGCCATATGTGGCAAAGACGCTGTGGAAGTGTAGAAGGACCCCAAAGTCTACTTGTAGATGTGGGCTTCCGTGGTCACGTAGGAGATCCTGGGACCCTCTATATGGGCATACTAAAGGCGGAGGGTTATTCAGTCCTCTGCTATATGTGCGACGTGTCGATGTAGGGCTTGTCATCAAGGCCTTGGAAGGATATTCAAATTGCAATAATCTTCTAAGGAGTCAAGGGGCCATGTAGGTCTAGTTGCCCTTCCTCCTCTAGATGGCAGATCTCCAGTCTATATGTCTCAATAGTCTCACCTCTAGTCGCCGCTACCTCACATACTCCTGCTTTGCTTCTTTTATATTTCTGATTGTTATGCTTGTAGATAACATACATGATAGGAGGACTCAATGTTCCCACTACACCACTAATGATACTGGTCAAGTTTCCGATGAGAGAAATATATATAAGACATGCCTTCGAAGTATCAAACCGGGGTTATGCTTATACAACAGGTCTCCGGCGTTCTACCTAGGTAATGTACTTTAAACAAAAGCAACGCTTGAAATTATATCAAATAAACGCTACCTAAGCAAGTATTTAAATATTTACATACAAAAAGAGCAAATATATTGTCACAGCCGGGCTGTGTGTGTGGCTGTGTGTGGCTGTGTGCGGCTGGGTCCAGGTGTGTGGCTGGAAGTGTGGATGGGGCTACAGCCAGTGCTGCAGCCAATGGGGTAAGGCTACCCGTAGTGAATACTGCCACCCACACATACACACACTGCACCATAAATACTGGCTGCACTGCAGGCTATTTGTACGATTTCTTCTTTCTTTCCTTTAAGTAGAATATTAGTTCCCAATACTAGGTAAACAGGGTGGCTGTGCCCTTGTCCTATATTGCATCCATCACATATATGTTGTATTATGAAAGAATTGTTTGTATAGTTAACTGCGTAAGGTTATCAAGGCTTAAAACTAAACTAGGTAAGCCTTTTTTGGGTTTGGGGGGTTGCGGGGGGGTGTCTTGGAATACGGCGTATCGGCGTATTAGATTTATATAGACCTGGTCAACATATGTAGCAGCGCAATGGTCATCGGGTCCTTGACATAGAAACTAACAGAATGAATTTATATATATAATGTATACTTAAGACCAAGCTGGATTTCCTTGTTGCTCTTCATTTTCTGAGCACTATTCTCTTTGTTACTTATTAACTTGTTCTTTTTATCGAGGGTGCAAGTGATCTTCCGTTGAAATGGTGCCAGCTCGTTCCTTGATATTACCCACTTTAAGAGGTACCAGAGGGGCACCACTTACACAGACGCACTCTAACGTAAATGTACCGTCAGCCTCAATCAATATCTCGAGACGGATCAGTACATGCGCAGTAAGACGCAGCGACATTAGATCAAGAAAGAGTCACATTACAGGTGTCCGCTCCTCATCGCTTTCCACTTCTACGTCAGTCAAGAAAGATATCGCCACGAATGCTGGCAAGAATGGGTCACCGTCGCAATCAAGGCATGGATCCCAACAGACTCCGTCACCGCCAGAAGACGACTTCAAAGTCAGTTTTCATAACCTCGGCATGAACCGCATCACCAAGTTTGTGGTGTATGCTGTCATCGGCGTACTCAGTACTATGGAGACTATCTTCTGGTGCAAGGTGCTCGTAAGTACTCGAGCTCCAGACTAATCCAATTCTTAGGGGGCTTCTGCTACCTGGCCCAGGAGTGTAAGTGCTAACTCTGGATATATAGTGGCGCTGGTGGACGGGTAACGAAGAGGATGTAAATGAATAACTTGGATGGTGCTTGATCCGCCTCGGAGCCGAGGGGGTGAAGTCGTTCGTTCTTGTAACATATTTGGCTTCGTTTATGTTATGTCCTTCCCCGTTTACGGGTCTTACAATACGTGGAGGTGAGCGTTTGGTTCAAGAAGAGATTCCCTACTCTGTATCGTATCCTCAACGGCACAATCTATGCCCGGATGCAAGATCTGTATTATAAATGCTTATATGTTATACTGGGAGGTGAACCAAGTTTTCGTGGTTTGCCCTGGAACTGTTACCGAACAACCGGTCTGGATAGAATGGTATGCTGGGATACTCAGACACCAACACAGCAGCATACCACCAACTGCAGAAAACAGTCGGGTAGCAATACAGTTATATCCCCGTATTTTAGCGTATCTGGTATCCCGGTGTCCTGGTACAGTTGCAGCCAAGGTGGTCTTGATAAAGCGATTTTGGACACTAACATTCGATGTTGATGCCATATAGGCCAGCCCGAAACTTGGCCGACGCAATTATATTGCCATGTACCGGTGATATCCCAGTAAGCATGCTCAGTCAGCAGCATCGAGACGGAGGGGGCTAAAAATGCAGTGCTGGCTGGCTGGCTGGCTGTCTGGCTGGCTGAATGAAAAACATGGAAACTGGAAACTGCAAACGCGCCTGCGACTTGCCTCTCCAGGTGGGTACGGCAGCTACAGAGCTCTAGCGCCGTTGGCGTCCCCGCTTAATATTCAAACATGAAACAGAGACCAGCTGTGATCTTATTTGGTGTTTTTTCCGACCGACATGGATAATGCCTAACCATGATCGATGGACAGCAATCATTCAGCTGCAAGCTTCTGAGCCTCTGGGTCTCTAAGTCTTTGACTGACGGTGGGTAACAATTGTTTGTGTGTATGTATGTGTGTGTGTGTGTGTGTGTATACCGGCTCCGGCTCCCACAACCGCACCCCCAACCCCATCCAACATTCCCATCATCATCATCATCATCATCATCACCACCATCAGTCGGCGACACACTGCACTAAGTAGCCACCCTGACCGACAACGAAATGACTCTCTTCGTTCGTTGTTCGTTTAGATGAGACACGGGAATTGCCCATTTCCCATTTCACGCGCGCACCGCCACTTCATTGGCCTCTTGCTCCGAGGACCCTGCACGCCCATCTCGCGGTCTAGGCCGCGCAGCATCACGATAATTGGCTGCCAGACCTGCCTCTGCCCTGTTTTCGCAGCGGCGCGTCATCGCACTAGGCTGTTCCAGGCAACGCTTGGCAACGTACGACGCTGACTTTAGCCACACCGAGTCAAGCCACCGAGATGCCGCTGGGCACTCAGGTCTCTGGTGTCCCTTAAAACGGCATATAATTAAATGGAAGAGGATTCCTTTTTTCGGGCTGCGGGCAAAATGCGGCTGTGATACCCTACCACGATAGAGACCCAATGTCTCTTCTCTCTCTCTCGCATTGGTGTTTTATTTGATTGATGTGTTACCATTCTCAACGCTCGTTCTCGCATCTACTTGTCCGTTCCCTTATCTGTCGTTACCTCCGTGCCATTTGTATACACAGAGGACTTCTGGTTTTTGAGCTGCTGCTCTATGCCGTGTCATGATGGCTGCTGAGATTGAGGAACCTGTTGCGGCAAGAGACAGCGGTGCCACTGCAGAAGAAGTTAAGCCTTACAGGATACATGTAAGTCCCTTGCTGCTCAATCTAAATATGTATGAATGTATCTTGTCGGCATATGTGTATATGTGTGGCTGATACTTCTTATCTCATCACTAGGTCTCGTCTCGATATCTTAATCTCACCAAGCAGAAACTTGAGATCGCACGATTACCTCATGAACTCGATGAGCCCAAGTCTAAGGACTGGTGGCAGCCAAAGTCTCAGGTTGAGCCTCTGATTGACTTCTGGTGAGTTGCATGTATCTCAACCATCGTCACATCTCTATCTATAAGTGACTGTGTGTCGCTCATGGCTGTTAGACACAAGGGCCAGGCTTGTTGAAATTTATATACTAACGCGAACAGGCTCGAGCAATATCAATGGCGGGAACATGAGGAAATATTGAACCGCCTCCCACAGTTCCGTACGGGGTTTACCATTCCACAATCTGACTCACCTATCAGAGTTCAATTCATCCACGTTCGCTCATCACACGCGAACGTGATACCTTTATTATTAATACCCCCGTTTCCCTTCTCCGGCCTTTCCGTAGCCCATCTAGTCAAGCAATTCACAGACCCGGATGAGGTGAACCACCAACCTTTCCATCTTGTCATCCCTTCACTGCCGGGCTTGGGCTTCAGCGACCCGCTTCCGACGAACTCACCTGTCATATCCTCCACGGCGGATCTGCTTGACTCCTTAATGAAGCGCTTGGACTACCCCCACTACCTAGTGACGAATTCAGGTGCTGGGACTCTCTCACCGGCGCAGATCGACTATAAACTCGCTGATTGGCTATCAACACATTATGCAGACTCATGTCTCGGAACGCATCTCATCTCCCCTCCACTAACCCGACCGAGAGCGGGGGAGACACCTCTGGGCTGGGCGAAATGGTCCATCGCTAGACTCTTCGAGGCGTCTATCTCGGGCTACTGCACCGAGGACTACTCGGCCCTCAGGAAAAGCGGCGGCGCCGTCACGGCATCAAAGAAGTTGACGACGACAACTACGGGATTCGGATTTAGCGGAGCGGGACTAACGGAGCCTAACACATTGGCGTACGCCCTCTGTGACTCGCCTACGGGCCTACTCGTCTTCGTAATGAAAGGGCTCCGCCTCTTCGCGCCCAAGAAGGAGTTCTCGCCGACGGAAATTATCAACTTCACGCAGCTCGCGTGGCTCCCCGGTCCCGAGGCCGCCCTGCGCTTCTGGGCGCACTGCACGCGGCATCCGGAGAACAGCGGGAAGC